AGTTGACTTTGCGACATGTATGCGAGTATTATCGTGGAGAATGAATCGTTTCGGACGCCTTCCTTGCGGTGCAGCAGCTAATTTCCGGAGCTGTTCAATGTATTTTTCCGGTGCGACGGTCTGTTTGCAGCCGAGTAGATCCCAAAGCAGTATATCCTGCCTATCCCAGATAACCGACATCATAAGCTTCTGACAATGGAGCTTAGCCTTTGGTTGAACTGGTGTGCCCCGGAGTGTGATGTAACCAGAAACGCGTCGCATGCTGTTTTGGTAGTAAACCCAGAATTCATTTAAGGTGATAGCTGACTTGAGAAAGTTCTGTCCATGGGTCGAAGGAGTAGACTTCTACAGATAGACACTTGCGCTGCTCGGTCGTATTCGGTGAGTGCGTGCGGTACCCATCTCAGACAGACATCTCATTTCGGTTGCACAATGCGTGCGGCGAGTAATAGTGCTATGACTACACCTAAGCGTCTGCTACCATTCACGGGTAGTAAGACCGTTTGTACCTCTAACTCATAGCGCAGGGATCTTCATCGAATGATGCTCGACGCCCTGAGCGAAGTTGATTTCCAGTGCTCGTATCTACCTCCCGGAACCGTTTGAACTATTCCCTTACCTCGTATAAATGCAGCGTTGATCTTTTCAGCCGTCGTCTTTGCACTGGTCTCCTGATTTTATCTGTGAAGTATAACCGAATGTATGTTGACTTGATCTGCTTCAGCTCCCTGTTAACTAATTCCAGGTGTAAACACTCCTACACCCCCGTGGTGATGTTTCAGAACCACACTATTCATGCTTCGCAGTGAAGCTGCCTATAACAAGAAAATAAGAAAAAATTGAGTTTATCCAAAAAGCGGAAGAAACTATGAAAAAGCGCAATATTATGGATCGTTTTGTGCTCAACGTCTTCTGGTCCGAACATGTATTCCCATTTAAATTGACACTGCGTACTTCCGAAAATACCTTACAATGTGAGGTTTCCTCTTAAGTGCTCCTTCTTCCGTGACAATTATGTAATGCTCGCGGTATGCGTGATGTGAAATGAGCTTGCTTATTTGCACTAAATGTGCCCTAACATTTCTCTCGGATCCCAATGAAGTTCTCCAAGATAGTTTCATCTTTGACCAGTTTTTAAATTTTTTGAATGATGTAGGGAAGTACATTATTTATGGTACGTCTTTTGCGTCCTTACTTTGCTATCCTTTTTATTTTTTGTTCCAGTTCGCAATACTCATTATGTGTTATCAGTAATATAGATGTTTCTCTTCCTTCATACGGCCATCTAAGTCCGCTTGTCTCGCAGGCTTACTGTAGAAGGGTAGTCACTTCGCAGATCCATCTTCGATCACCTTATTCCTCATCTTTTGATATCCGTTTGTGTTGTGCTTTCATTTCTTCTCGTCTCAAGAAAGTCTCTGTCCACGATAAAAATGGTTTCCGAGAAATGTCCCTGACATGAACCTATGAACCTTAAGAATTGCACAAGAGGCACAGTTGAGTTGAGAACGGTCTAGTTGAGGCGTAATACCCAGGCAGCTTTCTGTAAGCAAGCTGTGCGCAATGGCTCACTCGGTTGGACAGCTCGTTCAAATACCTTTTCAATGAACCTTTTTTGTTTCGTTCCCGTAAATTCCTCATTTCACTACTTTTTTGAAGCCTTACATTTCCCTGAATGCTTCGATTTTCTTCTTTCTTCATCCTTTTGATTATTACTGGACTATCACTACCCTTATTCGTCTAAAACTGGATACCCCGAATTTATCGTGAATTGTGCCTTCAAGTGCTTATTGCTTGATCAATACAATGCTGATGCTGAAATTTGGTATGCTAATTGCAAGGTATTCGGCATATCTCATGGAGTGTTGCCAACTAGACGTAGAAATCCAAATATGTGTCTTGGATTAGACAACTATGCCTTTTTTACAGACATCAACCTTCCATTGTCTTCAGCCCTCCCAGACTGGACAATATCAAGAACACTGGCGCAGTAGACCAGGAAAGCCTGGTTCGCTCTGGCAAGGATTTCGAAGGTGAATTTACTCATTTATTTGCTTGCAGTTGTGATTAATTTGAGGTCTTAGTGTGTAATTCTCTTACTGAGTCTCTGACGGCAATTAGTAGTAGATGGAAACCGCATATGTAAGATAATCGTAGCAATATCAATAAGCCGTACTTCCGCATCCCTTTTATTTGATGGCTTTTATTTGCTGTTTATGATTCGTCGTTTTGATTGAATTGTTTTTGTTTTTTTTTTT